GAACCTGAATTGAGCAGAGACTCGAGGAGGGCAAGAGGAAAATGTCCCTACTCTGTCAGAGTTTTAGCTGTGGCCATAGGCTTCAATAGCAAAAACATGGGAAAATCAAGCTAAATTATAGTGGAATATATGTAGTTTTCACTCTGAGCCTAGCTTTGTCATCTGGCTCAGCAAATGATACACATCTGACAATGTGGATATATGGCACTATATGGCATATGAACTATGGTTAAATTAACTATATATGATCATGTAATTCCTTTTTTATGTTCCTATACATTGAAGTCCAGCTTTTTCAGCATGTAATTCCAAATCCTTTCTGACCTAAAATATTGTCATCATATAACACTGTTTTCTCCAGTTTGTCTGCATTGAATATTCTTCTGCCAAACTATTCTCTGCCCTTCAAACCACATAGATTATTTCTTATTTCCTCTTTAAAACTTTTGTTACATATCACCACCCCCTCCACAACCTCTCCATTTATTTCTTATTGAAGTATAAGTGACATACATTATGTTCAAAATAATGATTCAACATTTGTACACATTGTAAAATGATCATCACATAAGTCTAGTTACCATCTGTCACCATACAATTTTACAAAAAATATTTTTCTTGTGATGGGAACTTTTAAGATTTACTTTTTCAAATCTTTCGTTTGCTGTACAATATTGTGGACTATAATCACCAGGCTGTACATTACATTCTCATGACTTATTTATTTTATAACTGGAGGTCTGTACCTCTTGACCCCTTCGATCAATTTTGCCTAGCCCCACACATCAATGTGTTCTCTATATCTATCAGTTTTGTTTTGTTTGTCCATATATATATATAGAGAGAGAGAGAGAGAGAGACAGAGACAGAGAGAGAGAGAGACATACACACACTACTTTTTCTTTTTCCACTCGTCCATTGATGAACACTTGAGTTGTTTCCATATCTTGGCTACTATAAATAATCTTGCAATGAACATTGGGGTACATATATATTTTTGGAATTAGTGTTTGCATTTTCTCTTGGTAAATACCCAGTAGTGGAATGTTGAATCTTATGGTAGTTCTACTTTTAATTTTTTGAGCAACCTCCATACTGTTTTCCACAGTGGCTGCACCAGATTACATTTCCACCAAAAGTGCACAAGGATTCTCTTTTCTCCACAGCCTCGCCAACACTTGTTATCAATTTAAATAAAGGAGGCAAGAATATACAATGGGGTAAAGAACAGTCCCTTTAATAAATGGTATTGGGAAAACCAGATAGCTACATGCAAAAGAATGAAACTGAACAACCTTATATCATACACAAAAATTAACTCAAAATGGATGAAAGACTTGAATGTAAGGCCAGTAACATAAAACTCCTAGAAGAAAACATAGGTGATAAGCTCCCTGACATTGGTCTTGACAAGGATGTTCTTAAATCTGACACTAAAGGCAATGGCAACAAATCAAAAATAAACAAATAAGGCTATATCAAACTACAGCTTTTTTGCACAGTAAAGAAAAGCATCAACAAAATAAAAAGGCAAGATACTGAATGGGAAAATATATTTGCCACTTATATATATGGTAAGGGGTTAATATCCAAAATATCAAAAGAACTCATATAACACAACAGCAACAAAAGCAATAATAACAACAACAATAACAAATTCTGATTAAAAAATGGACAGAGGCTCTGAACAGACATGTGTCCAAAGAAGACATCCAAATGGCCAAGAGACACATGAAAAGATGCTCAACATTACACATCATCAGGGAAATGCAAACCAAAACCACAATGAGATATCACCTCACACTTGTCACAATGATCATTATCACTCCCTCTTCTTCATTTCATAATTAATGCTTTTCTTAGACTTTTTTTTTATGGTCCCAGAAGCACTGCTCCTCTATCTTTAACACAGCATCTAACTGGTTCTATTATTCTTGGTTCCATTTGTTCTATGACAGTACCAGGGCCTTATTCACTCCTGTGCCCCAGTGTTTGCCAAGAGAAATAATGAGTAAATATGCCTCTTAAGATTTTATATCTATATATCACATAATACATGAAACATAACAGGGTCCTAATAAAAATTGTTGGAATGAATGCATGAATTGTTGATATTTATTAACCATGTACTTTGCAAGTACATTTTTTTTAAATTCCACAATTATTAGCATACTGACTGAAAATAAATACATATATTTGGTTTATTGTTAGTCCTTTTGCTTGGAACTATTGATCCTCCTCAAGTGAGAAGACCTCCCCAATTCCTAAGAAATAAGAAAATAGCCTTTAACTTAAGTGCACCTTTCCTCTTCCTAGGATTCTAGAGGTATAGGACTCGAGATGGAATGAAACTTCTCTTCTCTGTTAAAATGACACATTCCACAGCAATGAGAAATATGGATTCAAATGTGAGCAATAAAGGATAGATATTGACTATAATTAAAATTATTAGGCAAGAAATAATGAATAAATTTCAAGGGCGAATAACTTTTTAAAAAATGTGTTCTCAGGGTGCCTGGGTGGTTCAGTCAGTTAAGAGACCAGCTCTTGATTTGGCTCAGATCATAATCTCTCAGTGGTAATACCGAGAATCAAGTTGGGCTCCGTGTTGGGCGTGGAGCCTGCTTAAGAGTCTCTCTTTCTCTCCCCCTCTGCTCCCACCCCACTCGTGCTCTCTCCCTCTCTCTCAAAAAAAAAAAGTCTTCTCAAAATTTTTGCAAGATGTGTATATGAAATCATAGGTAATTAAGTCCTTCTATACCACTATGCTAAATTCGGCTTAGTGATGTGACCAAGATGTCTATATTTCTTTGTCATTTAAAAGGGTGTGGGGAAAACTGGAGGTGATAAATAAATCACAGTGGACAAAATATTGATAATTTTTTTCTAACTCATGGAAGGTCTATTGTATAATTTTCTGTGTATATGGAGTAGTCTTTTAAGAAAACATAAATTCAGTGTATATTTTCTGTACAGGTGAATGTCTTTCTCATCTTTACTAATAATTTTGCATTTCTATTTACTATCTTTGTTTAAGTTTGTTTTATTTTAAAGATTCATATTGTACCTTGAGAAATTATTAAGTTATGTTCAACTATGTTATTTGAAATAACAGTAGAGTACTGGTATATTATAAATAATAACAAATATGCCTACTAAAATGCCTAGAACTTTGCTGTTGATAAAATTGATAAGCTATTTTTATTAGTGACTTCAACAATAATTTTAAAGGGTTTTTAGAGAAGATATGAATAAGATATAACCATAATAAAAAAAGGTTTTTTTAAGTTTCCAAAAGCAATGGGAGTCATGGCATAAAACCTTACATTCATTTGCCCCTACTGTATCAAAGGTTGCATCCTGATTCCCATAGTTTGTGACCAAAATTAACTGTAGAAGCCAACAAATAATCAAGATACTTGCATTTAACATGCAAACAGCTAAAAATTCTATTTTATTATAATGGTGTTTGGATTCACCTAAAGGTTAGATCTCTTTATCACTATTTCTCAATTATTTAGGAAATAAGGAGGAAGTATTTGTCATAATTTACACAAACTACAGAAATTTGGCAGAATATGAAAATCCTAGAATAATTCAAGGCATTTATTAAAATTTATTCATAACACTAAGTTGGTTACATTAGGAAATGGATAATTTAACTCTTGTATAAATTATGCAATTGAGTATAAAATTGCAATGTTTCTAAAGTAGAAACATAAATGAGACATAAAACTGATCCCTTTCATTGTTCCCTATGCATTAAAAAATATGCTTAGACTAAGATTTACAATAATTCATTTCACCTATATGATTTCAGAATAAGTTCTTTAACTGTGAGATACCTGAATGAATAGGAACAAAATAAACAGTTAATATTAACATTCAAAAAAGCAGGGGCATTAAAGACCCTCAGTGACAACTGGTCACTGGTGAAGAATGATTCTGGTGACTAGAATTACAAAACTTGTTTCTTGGAAATGAAGTAGATTCCTCATACAGACCTTGCCTTAGCATTCTGGGGGTGTCGCATTGCCAGGACCTCTGTTGTCCTGTTAGGGTTTTGCTCTCTTAGAGGTCATTTCTCCTCTTTCATCTCTTGTGGCCAAAAGTGAACTGAATGTTAGAGAGTAACTTCCCCCTCGAGGCTACCCATCTCATTGCCTGTCCATTTTCTGCTTGTTCATGAGTGGAAATTTGAGGGTTACTTTTGGATTGGAAAAAAAAAACAAAAAACAAACAACAACAACAAGAAAAACATGGGTTTTTCAGCCCAGAATTGTGATTTCTTCAATTAGTAACATAATTACCTCAGAATATATTGGGCATTTGGTCTATTTGCTTCCAGTTGATTTCATGTGCCAACAATCATACTCAAACTTTTTTTCTGAACTTGGTGATTACATTAATTCTATCTTATTTACTGGCTTCTTTGCTTGGCCTTAACATCTGACTCTTGGGGCAGAGTGGTAGTCATAGATTTTTCTGTCATGTGAAGCTCCGAATTTCTAGATCTTTCCATATCTTTTATCTCTGCCCACACACTCAAAAAATCTTGCCTGTGACAGATCATCTGTTTTATATAATACTTTGTTAAAAACAGTCAGAAGCGATATAATGTACCAACATTATTTTTTTATAGAACTACTTCCCTCAAAGCTATAGGCACTGTGGAACATTTTCCTCCCACATTACTATATATGACAATTTTAACAAATGTTTGGCCAAGGACCCACAAGGTCCTAACCTGTAGTATCATTCTCTATACCTGACAACTAATCCAAAGCCACATATTTTAAGGATCTCTTATGTTGCACTTATGCCTGGGATCAAATACTGTGTCAGGCAGGGCTTGGTAGAGGAACCATAAACTACTGTGTTTCTAAACACAAAGAAGAATACAAGAGAATAGGCTGTTACAAAAGCCAATAAAAAATAAAGAAGTATGCTCTAGCATGAACTTTTTTTTTTTCTTTATCTTTTTCCTTTTTTCCCCCTAGCCTGAGCCTCTTAAAAAGATTCACGTAACAGCTCAGCAAGGTAGTTACTTCATCTGGGACCAGACCTGGGAACAGCACTGCCATAGCAACCTGACCAAGATGAGGTTAAAGACTGGCCAAGTGAAGCCATGATTCAGGGACTATTGAGTCAAATCAAGAAGCCAAAGCAGATATAGATATAGATACAGATAATAGATATGCACCACATCTTTATCCATTGATCCACTGATATGGATCAAATCGCTATAGAAAACAATATGGAGGTTCCTAACAAAACAAAACAAAAACTTAAAAATAGACCTACCATATGACCAGCAATTCCATTTCTGGATATATACCCACTCCCTAAACAATAAAAATAGGATTTTAAAGAGATATAGGCACTCTTGCATTTATTACAGCAATATTCACAATAGCCAAGATATGGAAGCATGATTACAGTCCTTAAAATATATTATCCTGAATTATTCAGATGAACCCAATATAACCATATGAACCATTAAAAGCAGAAAAAATTCTCTGGCTAGAGGCAGAAGAGATGCTGCAGAAGGGAAGTCAAAAAGATTCAATGTATATTTGTGTGGCTGTGAAGGTGGAGGAATGAGGCCACCTACCAGGGACCATAGGAGCTTCTAGAAGCTAAGAAGGACCTCAAGCCATCACCCAGCAAGGAAATAGGCACCTCAGTCTATAATGACCACATGAACCTGAATTCTGTGAACAACTTGAATAAACTTGGAAGCATCCCCCCCCCCGCCCCCCCCCCCCCCCCGCCAGAGCTTCCAGAAAGGAAAGTAACCCTGCCAACACCTTGATATTGGCCTTGGGAGACTCTAAAGCAGAGAACGAGCCAAGTCATTCTATGCTTAAACTTATTTAAAAACAACAACAACAACAAAAACAACACTTTATTGAGGTCCAGTTGATGTATAGGAAGTGGTATCTATTTAATGTATAAGACTCAGTGATTTAGGAATCAGTATGTACCACCCAACTGTTACCACCACCATGTACCCAAAATTCTGACCACCAAATAATGAAATAATACATTTGTGCTTTTAAGCTGCTAAATGCATGGTAATTTGCTAGGTCAGTAATAGATAACTAATACAACAACATGCCATCAACACAGATAGATAACTAACATAACAACACATCAACAACACACATACACACACACTCCAAAAAAAAAGTGGAGGAGAGAATTCAAAGAAAGATAAGTCCATTCTGCGGGGAGTTCTCAAAGAAAATTCCTTTGGAAGGTAGAAGAGTGTCCATGTGAAGTTTAAGTAAGTTTAGAGAGGTAGAGAAAGGAGGAAATTTGATGGGTGAGAAAAATGGCCTGGGATAAGTTAGATGTGATTCATGAGACTGTGAATTGGATCCATTTTTATGGAGAAGGGAATGTAGAGCAGATATTGAAGAACAAAGCTGGGAGAAAAAACTGAGACCTGAGTGTGAAAAGGCTAAAATAAGAGCCCAACAAATTTCAGGAAAAAAAATTACATAACAAAAATCACAACTGAGAAATGTGAGGCCGGAGTCTATGTCTGTAAATAAAGTACTATCAACATTTTATTAAGGCGTTTCTGCCTAGAGGTTGCTCCATCCAGTTTACCCTGTGGTGTCTGCAGTTTCCTTACAACTATGGAAATCTTCTTTCAAGCCAACAAGCCTCTTAACTTTTCCAGACACAGATTTGCTGCTGATGTCTGACTATATTTCTCTTACAGTTGCTTAGTCTTATTTATGACGTCTGTACAATGACATAAATGAACCACAAAGTATCAAGGGAGAAAATTCACTGTGATGTGCATGCCTGCCAGAGATCAGGAGAGGAAAGCCATGCTTTCATTTGCATATTGACATTTTTAACATGTGAACATTATCTTTCCCGTAACAAATTGCTTATGTATTATACAATGCGTTTCTATCACTCAAAGTTATTTCATTCAGTTATCTATTAGGCAGTAGCTAGGTTTTCTGTAAGCATAACTGATTAATCTTTATTCTTTTAAAATTCCCAGATTCCCCCACCCCACTTTCATCAACAAATAATATTTAGTTTCCCAAAAAATATGTCAATATGACTAGAACACACACACATTCGAAGTACATTCACTTTTGCTTGCCAGCATACAAAACTGGTTCTGGATAAGCATCCGTAAACTGAGAAATACAATCCCCAAAATAAACAAACACATGCAAAGCCTTTTAGCAGGTCGGTGGATGCCCGCGGAACTGCCATCCTCAGATGATGCATCCAGCTCATTTCTTGCCTCCAACTGGAACAGCATTAGACAAAAATGCAAGGAAATTAGGTCTCAATTTTGGTACAGCTAGCAACAAATTCTGTTTATTTCCTTCTTTCTTCTGTCAAATGGCAGCATTTCATGCTAACATAAGACATCAAATTTCCCATTCAAAGTTAGATCTTCAAACACTGTATCTCACACAACAGGCTTTCTAAATAACTTCAGATACATTCAAATTGGTAGAATCAGTTACACGCATGTGATTATGCACCCTTAGATTTTAAAGTCAACATTTGGTAATTTTCATTATTTAAATTATCATTTTAATGTGGCCTGAATAACCCAAATACCTCATATTTGTATTGTGTTTATAGGCTTATTTTTTGGTAAATTAAAACTTTTTTAGAAGGAAATTTTCTACCATCACATTAAGTTTTAATACACTGAAGGTGCAGAAAATAAATCTAACAGAATAGCCAACAATGATATCCATCCAAAATTTCAAAGTTATACCTATTTTAGTTTTGGTAAATGTATAAAGATATCATCAGATATTTCTTTTCTTCTCTAGAAAATAGTTCTAGTATTTGGGATGGAATAGATGGAACCCTAAGGGTTTCATTACTAAATATCAATTTCCCTTGCCTCTTTTAAGCTCTGAGATAAGAAAATTTGGACTGAATTTTCTAATCAATCTCTCTGTACCCACTTGGAAACTTCTCTATCTCACCTAAAACCCTGAGCAATGTTCTAAATACAGAAAATTTAAAAAATAAATAAGGAAATAAGCAAACAAAAGTTTTAATTTTATTTGCCTTATGCTTTCATAGAAATTGGTTAGCTTTCTAGTAGTTTTGCAAGAAAGTTTAGTTTTCCCAATCCAAGAAGAATGTGCTGATATTTGAAGTTATCCTGTGCAGATGACATAAATCACAGTATAAACACATATAGCTAGTCATTATTTGACAGTCTTCCCAGTTCCCTTCTTTTCAATAATTTTGTGAGAATTTCTAAATACTGACCTATGTTTAAAACATACTTAAAAAGGAAACCTTTATTTTTTTCCTTCTAATATCTGGAAGTCAATCAACTAGGATTTTCAAAGCAAATTAATATATCACTGGAGGGCCAAACCAATACAAAATCAATATATTAGGGTGCCTGTGTGACTCAGTCAGTTAAGCTTCTGACTTCAGCTCAGGTCATGATCTCACAATTTGTGAGTATGAGCCCCACATCAGGCTCTGCTGTCAGCGCAGAGTTCACTTCAGATCCTCTGTCCCCCTCTCTCTCTGCTCCTCCTTTACTTGTGCTCTCTCTTGCTCTCAAAGAATAAGTAAACATTTTTTTTTTTAATTTGTATATCAAGAAGCAAACCTGGGGTGCCTGGGTAGCTCAGTCAGTTAAGCATCAGACTTCCGCTCAGGTCATGATCTCATGGTTTGAGTTCAAGGCCTGCATCAGGCTGTTTGCTGACAGTGTGGACCTTGAAGCCTGCTTCATATTCTGTGTCTCCTTTTCTCTTTGCCCCACCCCTCACTCCCACACTCACTCATGTGTGCTTTCTCTCTCTCAAAAATAAACAAACTTTTAAAAAGAAGCAAACTTAAGAAGTAGAAACCTAAACCATATTGTCATGTAGTAGGACTTCCAGGGAAGGTGGTGGAGTAGGGGAACCCTAAGCTCACCTCGTCCCATGGATACAACTAGGTAACACACATATTAGGGACAATAACCCAAAAAGTGACCTGAAGCCTGACAGACAATTCTCAATAGCTAAATGAAGAGTAAGTAGAACTCTGTAGAGTAGGACACAGACACTGTTGGAGCTAAACAGACCCAAATCAGAAATGAAAGAGCATAAATAACAACTGACACCACAAAAATACAAAGGATGATAAAAGAATACTCTAAAAAATAATGTACCAGGAAACTGGATGACCTAGAAGAAATAGATAAATTCCTAGAAACATATAATCTCTCAAAAATGAATCAGAAAGAAGTAGAAAATTTGAACAGACTAATTTCCAGCAATGAAATTAAATCATAGTCAAAAATCTGCCAATGAAAAAAAGTCCAGGACCAGATGGATTCACAGGTGAATTTACCAAACATTTAAAGAATAGTTAATACCTATTCTCAAACTATTCCAAAAAATAGAAGAAAGAAAACTTCCAAACTCATTCTATGAGGCCAGTATTACTCCGGTGCCAAAACCAGATAAAGACACCACAAAAAAGAAAGAGAGAGAGAGAGAGAACTATAGGCCAATATCTCTGATGAACATAATACAAAAATTCTCAACAAAACATTAGCAAACTGAATGCAACAACACATTTAAAAAATCTTTTACCATGATGAAGTGATATTTATTAGTGATATTTATTTCTGTGATGTGAGAGTGGTTCAACATTTGCAAATCAATCAACTTGATACACCACATGAAGGATAAAAACCACATAATCATTTCAATAGATCATTTCAATAGATGCAGAAAAGGCATCTGACAAAGTACAACACCGATTCATGATAAAAAACCCTCAACAAAGCATGTTTAGAAGGAACATACTTAATATAATAAAAACCATATATGAAAAGCCCACATCATACTCAATGGGGGGTGAGGGGGAGAACTGAGAGCTTTTCCCCTAAGGTCAGGAACAAGTCTAAGATGTCCATTCTTACCACTTTTATTCAATGTAGTATTGGAAGTCCTGGCCACGGCTTTCAGGTAAGAAAAAGAAATGAAAGACATCCAAATTGGTAAGGGAGAAGTGAAAATGTTCACTATTTGCAGATGACATGATACTATATATAGGAAACCTGAAAGGCTCCAGCAAAAACTACAAGAACTGATAAATGAATTCATTAAGTTTGCAGGATACAAAAATCAATATACAATCCTTTAC